CCCCAAAACCCCAAAACCCCAAAACCCCAAAACCCCATCATTCCTAATTTGGATGAAATAATTAGAGAGTAATAGATTATTTACAAGTAAGGTCCTAACTCTATTAGATCGACTTATCGTAGAGATTGCTTTTAATCTTAATAAATCACTTTTTACTCTATTATTGCAATTTAGATTATTCCTTTTCTAATTACTCTAATCCCTCTAGTCTGTCTAACTCTATTAATAACTTAAGTTTTTCCATTTCTAATGCTAATTCCTCCATTTTCAACTAATTAGACTATTCTTTGTGAGTTTAAGACTTTTTGCCCTTCTTTCGACCTCTCCAAACTCCAAATAGTATAGTGAAACCTCCAACAAGCATGATCGTTCTTAGATAGAAATCTGTCACCCCTTACTTCTAAGCTCTTCTAAAATTCCAAATTTTTTTTAGCCTGCTATTAGCAAACCAAGAGTTACTATCAGTTTACCACCAAAAAGAAATTTTCTTATATTTTACCAGTCCTTATTAAAGATCATTCTTACCATTATAAAAGATATTCTTCACTCTCTAGATCTTTTCTTTTGTTTAAGGCGAGGTTATCACTTCATAGGCTTATATTATCTTGATGGTTTTCCATTCTCTTAAATCTCTAAGAATGATTTCAAACCTTGTTGCCTCCTTCAGAGATGTACTTGTTACATCCTCCCTCATAATATATTTATTAGGATTAAAAAAGCCAAGCAGTACCATATCATTGAATTACTTCTTAGCACTCACTTTCAATTCATTTACATCAATACCATATTACTTTAATGCCTCAGCCGTCCTACTATATATAGTAGGAGTAGCTGATTATTAGTGCGGCTACTCACTTCTTATCATAAAAAATGATTTTATTTTCTCCTTTATTGTTACTACAAGAGATTTGAAACTCTCCTTAGTCTTAAAATGCTTTAAAACCTTATCATCAATGTAGTCCCAAACTTCCAATGCTTTAGTCTTGATCTTGTGAACTATGATATTAGCAGTAATCTTAACTTTTTAGATTGTATTATTCAAGTAATCCTTAGCAATCTATAATCTTGATTCCTCAAATGACTCTAAATGTGGTTATTTACTTTGGTAATTTTTGTTTAGATTCTTGTACTAATAATTATCTCTTTCATAGTAAGTCTAGCTTTATTATTGATCATTTTTACTCAAGCTTTAGTTCAAATCTTATTAAAATTGTCTTAATTTCCCTCTTAATATTTCCTGTAGCCTTTGTTTAGCTGAGAGGTTTGGCTATTCCTGCTCTAAATTTTCTGGTTCTTAAAATTCAATTTTCATTTCTTGATCTTATGCTTTAGTTTGGCTATGCATATTGTTTATCTTAGATTATTCATTAAGATTGTTCTGTTTTCTTGCTGCTTCTTGAGCCCTTTCCCTTGCAGTTCTCAATTTCAAATTAATGATTTACAGATTATTCTTATCCATCATATACATTGGAACAAACTTAGTCATCCTTGTCTTCAACTCACTAACTTGTGTCTTATTTGCTGTCTTATTAGCATGACTGTCTACATAATAATAGCTAAATACTTTTGATTCTAATCATACTTTTTGCATTTTGGCCATCATTATGATATATCTTTTTAAATCTATCTGTGGCTTCCTTAAACCAGTGCTCTTAAATGACCTGCTTTGGCTTGAAAGGATTCGGATTATTGTTTACTGCGAAGCGAGCCCTATTCCAATGCAATAATTAATTTCTCATTAAAGAGCAATACAAGGCTTCTAATTATATTATAAAATTGTATTATTACTTAATTAAGTCAGCACCATCGTCATCACGGGGTTTTGGGGTTTTGGGGTTTTGGGGTTTTGGGG